AAACTTCTGCGATTAGCTGATCTAGAATTTGAATTTGGGCTGGCTGCAGTTGGGTCCAAAAAGTAATCTGGAAATTCTTTTTTTCTTTTTGATTAGAAAAATAAAAATAAATAGTAATAGGAAAACTATTAAAATTAAACTGGTGGTGCCAAGTCCCGTTGAAATTTGTGGAAAAGGGTCCAATGTTTCTATTGGCTGAAGCTGGCCATGGGTCTCTGGAATTTTGAGTTTTTCAATTTGAATCTTATGCTCTGGTATCAATTTTATGGGAACAACTTCTGGGATGGAGATTTCTTGCGAGGTCTTTTTATTATATTTGGTTCCTTCTATGATAATTGGTTCGTCTGTCATTAGAATACTACTGGTTATGACTTTTTCTCCTTGAATCTTTATTGGATTGACTACTCCTAATAATATTACTTTATTGGTTTCTTGGAAAAAATTTTCTGTAACAACGACTTTAGTGCAATTTTGAACATTGGGTATGGAACATCTCGATTTGATCAATTTCGTACAAACTATAGTATATCGTACAGTACTGTTTTGAACAAATTATGTTCAACAACTTGTTTAAATACTTTCCACTCTAAATGTTTGTCTCCTGATGAAGCTGACAAAAAATCAGCGAAATATAGAGGATTAAAAGAAAAAAGAGTTTTTTTTAATAATCACAGACCGCATACCCGATATTCCAACACAATAAATTGTTATATATATATATATATATATATATATATATATATATATATATATATATATATATATATATATATTCAGGGTGTCCCAGACTAATTTACCCATGCTATATTTTTTAAACGAATCCTCCTCCTCAGTCGTTTCCTCATTGCTGAGTGTCGTGATTCCCTATAATACGAGCCACTATCTCTTTCCATCGGCTTCTGTCCTGAGCTTCCCTCATGGATTCTGAAAATGTTTTTTCCACTGGCTTTCTGTACCTGATCCGTCCATCGAATAGGTGAGCGACCTCTACTTCTGCGCCCTTCAACGTTTCCCGAAATTATAAGTCTCTCAAGATTATCATCACTTCTTCTTGCAATATGGCCGAAAAATTTTAAGACGGTGGAGAGGCAAATAGACGAAAGTCGAGTCTGAATATTAAGCTCTTGGAGGATTGAGTGATTTGTTCTGTGTTCCGTCCATGAGATCCGAAGCATTCTTCTCCAGCACCACATTTCAAAAGCGTCAATCCTTTTTCTGTCGTCCGATTTGATTGTCCATGTTTCGGATCCGTAACTAAATATGGGAAAAATTAATGCACGTACTAATCTTATTTTGGTGTTCTTCGACAAGGCGCGATCTTTCCATCTTTAAACGAATAGAGATTTTCAAATGGGACAAAAAGTGATCTATTCCATTTGTAATACACTTTAATTTAGCGAAGAAAAAATCATCCCCTAAATATTCACCCCTTAGTTACAACCCCTAACTTTAATTTTTTTAATAGCACCCTGTATATTTTTTTATAGTTTTGGATGTGATCTTCTATCGTCTATTCAACAGATTTATTAAAAATAAAATCGGTTTATAAATAATCAAGAAATCAATTAATTTTTTATTTTTGTTAATTAAGTGTCCCAGACTAATTTATCCAGGCTATATTTATTAACAAAATAGAGATTTTTTAAAGGGTCGAAAACTGGTCTATTCCATTTGTAATACACTTTAATATAGCTAAGAAAAAATCATCCTCTAAATATTCATACCTTAGTTACAACCCCTAACTTAATTTTTTTAATAGCACCCTGTACATTTTTTTCTAGTTTTGGATGTGGTCTTCTATCGTCTATTTAACCGATTTTTTTTTTAAATAAAATGGGTTTGTAAGGTATCAAGAAAATATCAGTTTATTTTTTATTTTTGTTAAATTAATCAACGGAACATAACATCAACCACACTGGAAGATAACGTATGCTCCTACAAAGACCAAATTTTGAAAAATTAAAAATAATATTTAAATAAAAAGGATGTGTAAGAAGTTATACTAATAATATTTCTTTTATATTCTATTTTTTAAGGCTATCTTGATTAATTTAACAAAAATAAAAAATAAACTGATATTCTCTTGATACCTTTTTACAACCTATTTTATTTTTAAAAAATCGATTAAATAGACGATAGAAGACCACATATAAAACTATAAAAAATGTACATGGTGCCATTAAAAAATTTAAGTTAGGGGTTGTAACTAAGGGATGAATATTTAGGAGATGATTTTTTCTTCGCTATGTTAAAGTGTATTACAAATGGAATATACCAGTCTTTGTTCCTTTAAAAAATCTCTATTTTGTTAAGAAATATAGCCTGGATAATTTAGTCTGGGACACTTAACAAAAATAAAAAATTAATTGATTTCTTGATTATTTATAAACCGATTTTATTTTTAATAAATCTGTTGAATAGACGATAGAAGATCACATCCAAAACTATAAAAAAATATACAGGGTGCTATTAAAAAAATTAAAGTTAGGGGTTGTAACTAAGGGATGAATATTTAGGGGATGATTTTTTCTTCGCTCTATTAAAGTGTATTACAAATGGAATAGACCAGTTTTTGACCCATTAAAAAATCTCCATTTTGTTAATAAATATAGCCTGGATGACATAGTCTGTGACGCTTAATTAACAAAAATAAAAAATAATTGATTTCTTGATTATTTATAAACCGATTTTATTTTTAATAAATCTGTTGAATAGACGATAGAAGACCACATCCAAAACTATAAAAAAATATACAGGGTGTTATTAACAAAATTAAAGTTAGGGGTTGTAACTAAGGGATGAATATTTAGGGGATGATTTTTTTCTACGCCATATTAAAGTGTATTACAAATAGAATAGACCACTTTTTGTCCCATTCGAAAATCTCTATTCGTTTAAGAGATGTAGCGTGGGTAAATTAGTCTGGGACACCCTGTATATATATAAATATATAAATATATATATATAATATATATATATATATATATATATATATATATATATATATATATATATATATATATATATAAGGATCACTCAGACGAGTGGTGGGTTCTTATATCGGTCTTAGGTGGAGAAATAAAAGACAAAGTTGATAGGCTACTTTATCTATTTTGAAGACGTTTCGCTTTCGAGTTTTGAAAGCATCATCAGTTCATCTAAAAAATTATTACAATATGAGAACCACACAATCATGGAAACGATGTTAATTGTTACCTTAAAAAGATATGTAGCAGTCAATGTTATTAACAAATATGTGAATGAAACTAAGTAAATGGACATAATACGCTGATCTTGTATAAACAGTTAAGCAACTAACAACATATATGAACTTGTAAAAAATTAGCACAGCAAATGACCATGTGGTCTAAAGTAAATTCAATGTTATTTAATGTTAATAAGTAAGTAAGAACCAAGAAAATCATAAATAACTTCCAACTATTTAATGGATATTAAGCTTTGATTTTAACTTTAGGTAGCATTATAAGTGATATTAATAAAATTTTAAAAAATAGTAAATATGAAGTTACCGATCAAAGCCCTATGAATGTCGCCGGGAAAATGGCGTTTAATGAAACAGGAACGAACTAAACCGCAAAAAGACAGCCAACCTTGAGGTCAAAAATACTTTTGACAGATCAACAAGGTGTAAATACCAACCCAAATTTTGGGCGGTTAATTTAAGTTTAACTGAGTTTGGATGACTACCCGGTTGCAAAGGACAACACAGTGAAAAAAGTTGGTAGTGTAAACACAACTCCCCTCACTAATCAGCCCAAATTTACAAACAGGAGATTTTCATTCAACCTCATAAGTATGTAATGACGTTAATCATTATGGCTAGTTAAACAGCCAGGTGGTTAACGATTTTATAATTTCCAAACAGCCCAAGGTTCAATATACTTGGAGCTGTGATTTGAAAAGGATTCTATGAATCAATTACAATATTTGTATTATTTTAATATAAAATTTGAAACACTAATTAAAGTAATTAGTGTATTGAAATGCAATGTGGGTTGCATATGTAATAGTAAAATTAAGTAAAGATATTAAGTTATTTTATTGATATATTTATTTATTTTATTTCTATTTATGTATATAAATTGTTTTATGAAAAATGGAAAAAAGTTCAACTAGTACACCTAATATGACATTAATGTAGTGAAACGATTAAGTCGCCTAATTCTGCAAAATTAAAGCATGATATATTTGGCTCAAGTTACTTATGTCAGTTCTCTTATTCAATGCATTAGGGTGTTTTAATATTGAACACATTTCCAAAAACTGTCTTTTAGCTAGATTGCGTTCAGTGGCAAGGATCTTAACTTCATTAAAATCCACTTCATGTTTTGTATTTATCGCATGTTGTGCTAGGGCACAAGTGTGTTTCGATAAATTAATGTCGCTACGATGTGAAGTGAGACGACCTTTTAATGATCTACCAGATTGACCAATGTAACATAAATCGCAATTAGCACATGGAATTTTATAAATTGTGTTAACTTGTTCCAAAGTGGACAAGGGTGTTTTAGTTTTAGAGAACAAATTTCTAACAGTTTTTGCATTCTTAACAGCAATTTTAACAGGTATATTATTTTGTTTATACAATTTAATAAGTTTCTCAGTAACTTGAGGGAAATAAGGTAAGGAAGAGTAATGTGTGATAGTATTCTCAAGAACGGTATTATGCAGAACAGTGCTATTTATAGAATTATTAGAGATGTTTCTAAGTTGGTCACCATCGGGTATGTCATAAATTGAGGATCCATAACTATGCGAATAAAGGAGACCGATATAAGAACCCACCACTCGTCTGAGTGATCCTTATATATATATATATTGGATTGACGGTCGTACTCCTTTTTCCGATAAATATATATATATATATATATATATATATATATATATATATATATATATATATATATATATATAATATGTTTTTTTATAATATAATATCATATATTTCAGTTACTGATATATTTTTTTTTCTATTTTAGAACGACTGATAAAATCCTACTTTTACATAGTCAGGAAATCAATTCAGGATACAGTTCCAAAAGCAGTTATGCATTTTCTAGTAAATTTCGTTAAAGATAACTTGCAGTCTGAGTTAGTTACGCATCTATATAAGGCCGACAATGCGGATCAGCTATTGGACGAGTCTGAACATATTGCCCAAAGGAGACGGGAAGCGGGAGATATGTTGAAGGTAAGTTAACTGTCATCGTCGCAACACAGTGCTATTTGATGTTTTCATTGATTGTATGGTTTGAAGTGTTTGTACAGGTTTATGTTTCTTTGAGATGTGGTTGTATCGAAGGATACTAAAAATTCCATGGACTAGCAGAACCAGAAACGAACAAGTTCTTCGAAGAATGGGACATCAACGAACTCTATTAAATATTATTAAGAGGCGCAAACTAGAATATCTTGGACATATAGAGGACCAAGATATGAGTTCCTTCGGCTAATTCTCAACGGTAAAATCGAAGGAAAGAAATGGATAGGCCGGAAGAAACTCTCTTGGTTGAGGAATTTGCGGCAGTGGACAGGTTTGACAGCGGACCAATTGCTACACGTAGCCCAAGACCGAGATCAGTATAATAATATTATAAGCATGGTAGTCGCCGACGTTCCTTAGGGATATGGCACTCTAAGAAGATGTTTCTGATAAGACAGTAACATCAAGTTATTTTAAATAAAGGTAACAAAGCATTAGAATAAAAAAGATGATTAGTATCAACCAACCAGTTATAGAGACATCAATATACTACTAGAAACAGTGATGTACATGAAAAAATTGTGTTAAATACATTTGTTAAGTTAGAGGGTGGTAGAATAGTTTCATATCGAGAAGATCATGTATATAACCTGATTTATAAGAGCCTAATTACTATTTATAACTGGGAATAAGCCACAATTAAAGATAAAAATACGTTTATTGACGTTTCAATTTCCAATTCGGAAATCGTTCTCAAAATACAAACAGTAAATTAAACAAATTTTGTTTTTTGTTACATAGTGAAAAGATTCTTCTAATAATTTAATTTTATCTGACTCATTTATATTGACAATTCAGACATACATTATGCATTTTAAAGTATACTTCATCTAATTTAGATAACGACTTTCGTCATTATCTACGTCAGAGATCGAAGTTGACATAGTTGCCAAAGTATAAAAAAATCCTGACTCCATTTTAAATCAAATAGATTACATAATTATTGTAAAAGCATTACCATCTCTTTACAACGACTATTTAAATTCTTACGTGACATTTTTGAAATAAAACACACTAATTTTGTTCTAAAAAGAACAGATTTTATTAGATAGTTAAAAATATAAAACAAGAGATATTCACTTTAAAATTTAAAATAATGAAGTACAAAAAGTGTCAACACCGCAACTGTCAAATAAGTGTTACCAATTTATGCAAAATTTTACCTTCGTTCGATTACAGTTACAGTGTGTTCCGAACAAATGTTATTGATAAAAACGCTTTATAATGCATTTATACAAATTAAATGAAACATATTATTATTGTGTATTTCTTCAAGTTAACATTAATAGAAATTTTAAAATATGATTTCTACGCGTATATAATAAAATATGTCTAGTGGCTGTAATGTCAGTGTACTCGGTAAAGTGATTCTAAAAAAGAACACACCTACACCCTAAATATTTTGTTGGTATCATGTGACGTCACAGGCTATGACGCCGATGACGTGCATCGTTATATAAATTAGATGAAGTGTAGACGACTTTAAAATGATATTGCCAATATTGTTGAGTTGCGCTCCTGGGACGACTTTACTTATAAGATAGTTCATTCGATTACATGAAATCAACTTTAACTTGAGAATATCCCTCAGAAAAAATCATAGCATGTAATTCGTCTTTAAAAAGACAAACACATGACATAATGACAGTAAAATTCTCCTGTTAGTGATTCCATAGTAAATTATGAGGGAAAAACCAGGAAAAAAACCTCATAATACTATCCCGACATTGTAAATATTTGTTTGTGAATTTAGTTTACCTTCAACAAACATCAAAATTCTGACTTTATATGTTACGTTATTTAAAAAACATAAATGATGTATCCTCTATATGTTACTGACTTACTAATACTGGTATTTTCTTATTAATAACTTCCTCTTTCAATATTGGTAACCAGATCCTACTACATTCTGCCGAGGAATTTGCGACACAATTGGCCTTTTTTTTACCATCCGTTTCTTTTAGGACTATATTTGAATTATTCCATTGAACCCTATGTTCATTATCCCATGCGTGTTTACATATTTGAGATCTATCAAATTCTCTATTTTTAATATAAGATTGATGTTCATTTATTCTAACATTTAATGGCCTTGATGATTCACCTAAATAAAACTGATCGCATTCACAAGGTATTTTATAAATGCAATTCTTTGTCCTTTCTTGTTCATTGTTAGGTTTGGTTTTGGACAAAATAGATCTCAACGTGTTTGTTGTTTTGAATGTTGTTGAAATGTTGAATTTATTTCCTATCCTTTTATGTACGGTATTGTTATTTTCCTCATATTATTCCTTGTGTATGCTGTAGGATCTCGTTCTAAGTTGTTCTGTTCTATTCGATCGATTGTTGAAAATTCCTTATTTATAAACGATAAAGGATAATCATTTTTTAATAAAACTTTAATTGTGGCTTATTCCCAGTTATAAATAGTAATTAATTTACAATGCCACAAGAAAATAGCTTCAGAACAATATTATAAGAGCCTGTTAAGATAATACCTTTTTTGGTGGAAAGTTCGAATAGTAGAGTAAAAGAATCAGGAGGTAGATTGAATGCTTTAAAAACTCCGTAACAAAATTCTTGTTAAGCAATCTGTGTGACGTAACATGATACTTCGTCATAAGATACATGTTAGTTAAATTTACAAAGAAACCAAATGAAAAACTTACAATTATAAACACTTCTGATGCAATTGGTATATTTATAAAATTACCTACTAATATGAAAATCTTAAAAAATATTACAGTTTTCATCATAACGTCTTAACAGACCATCATCAGTGAAAAAACATGTGATATGAATACTTACTTGAGCATTTGTTTGCAAATAGCCACTTTAGAAGGTGTAAAAACCTTTGAATTGCATTTTAAATATTGTAAAAGTTCAAATTGAAGATTTCACGTAACGAGACTGATCCTGACTCAAAAAGTTGACCACATGTGGGTCCGACCAAAGATACCAGCCAACGGAGTTGGAGCATAAGGAAGTGAAAATAACTGTAAAATGATATTGACAAAGAAAAGTGGTGGTGTTATTTATTACACATAACAAATTCTGTAAGGGGTAGTTCTTTATTACACATAACACATGGTACCATTATAATTATCTGTTTTTTGGTTATGTACATTTGAAATAGAATTTTAGTTTTTATAAAGCACCAATGGTAAAGGTCCCTAAACTCTAATCAGACGGGTCTTTAAAGTACTTTGGGGGGTCTTTAAAGTACTTTGGGGAACGTTTTTATATACAAGAGGGCTCTGAACTTCCTGACAGCCTGCATTATCACCGAGTTTTGAAACACTACAGAGGGCGTTCAGGAATGGTTTTAAATATTTCAGAAATGTTAAGTATACTTAAGAGCACACTTTAATTTTCAAGGGGGCTTTGAAAAACTTCAGTATAACTTTAAATGCTTTAGAAGACTGTAGGATTACAACACTGTGTGGAAGATATTAGGTCTGCTTCTAAGATTTTAGAGGTTTGTTCCGGAAAAAGAGCTTTTTTATGGGGCCATGAAAGACATCAAGGCATATATTTAAGGCATATATTTCAAATGTTTGATTAAATGGTCATTTTTCTAATTTATTTTTATTTTCAGGCGCTCCAAAGAGCCTCACACATAATAAGTGAAATTCGTGAGACGCATATGTGGTAATCGAAACAAGAAAATCGTAGTGGTAAGGAAACATAATAGTGAAGTGTCATGTGACTAGTCGTGATTTTTCATACATCAAAATAATCTAAATACACGTTATCATTGTTGTATAAGTGCCCAAAACTTGTTAAGATTGTCTGCTGTCAAAACCTAAGGTGGCATGATTGGATATTATTTGAGAGATATTAAATATTTTAAAGCTTAAACGATATTAATAGTCCATTTTGTTTGTTAATATTCTGTGTAATAGTTATTTTTTACTTACTTAGAGTGGTTCATAGCGGATTTCAATTATATTTGTAAAAGTGCATTTGTATAAGTGCCACTCTAAAAATACTTGTACATGGCTCCCGCAAATGTTTTAGCCACTGGAGCAATAATTTTACTACATAACAATTTGTTTAATCGATTGGTTCTCATTGTTTATGAATCTTTCTGTGTAGAAACAATTATTTTTTGTTTAGACCACACTATTCTACTTCAAGAAGTTTTTTTACAGATATACTCTTAAAAGTAGTTTTGTGCAAATTGATTTAAAACAAAAGCAAAATAATTTATAGAAAAAACATATTAAACACTCCCTAGACTTAATGACGTTACCTCTAGTGATCACAAACTCTTCGGAGACATATATGCACACATTTTGGAAGGTATTGGACGTTTTAGAACGATTCATTTATATACGAGGGCGGTTCGATAAGTACGTAGCCTACATAAGAAAAACGAAAATTTTTGAGAAGTGGCGATTTATTTCTAAACATAGACTCCAAACCCACCTGTGCTCCAACTTCTTTAACACGTCTGAAAAATAGGTCTCCGTTGCAGTTATGACCTAGTAATTGGACTTAAATGTTGCCTGACGAGTGACTTTCTTAAGTTTGGAAACAAAAATAAGTCTCACGGGGCCAAGTCTGGAGAATACCGTTGATGGGGCTGCAGTTCGTTGCAGAATTCGACCAATTTGGCCATGCTGGTGACGGGGGTGCTTTGCCATGACGAAAGAGCACTTTTCTTTGCCAAATGGGGTCTTGTTCTTCTGCAATTCGGCGTCGAATTGATCCAATAATTCGGAATAGTAGAGCCATGTGACTATTTCGGCCTATTGCGAGGAGTCGATGTAGATGATACCTTGTGAATTCCAGGAAACGATGGCCATCACCTTTCTTGTCGATAGGACAGTGTTCATCTTCTTGGGAACACATTCGCCGGGTGAAGTCCAGTGTTTGTCGTCTGTCTTGGTCGTCTGATGTATACCAATGGATCCAATTTTTGTCGACGGCTACGAAACGATGCAAAAACTCTTTCGGATTGCGCTTAACCAGCGCCAAACATTGGTTTGAAGTGGTCTCAATCGCCTACAGCGATTTTGTCATGTCCAAAATTTCATGCAGCTTCAATCGGTGGTTTGCCACAACTATATCGTGAATTTGTGTCAGGTATTTTTCGTGGTAGCCGTTTTAGGGGCATCTGGGCGTGACTCTGCGAAAATGCGACATGCGACTATGTTGAAACTCGTTAAATCAATTTTTACGGCCGCCATTGAAGAGAAGGGTCACCGTGTACCGTATCCAGACGCTCTTTGATTTCGCTGTGCCATTTCTTTTCCAAACAAAATAATCGATTCACTGACCGATATTGCTCTTTTTCCATTTTTTTTTAATCCGTAGGCAGGTCCACTTCCACATGAGGTAAAATCAAAATTACGAGTTCTATTCGGCTGAAATTTTGATATTAGCCGTCTATAAAGTCCACGATAATAAATTTATTTTGTGGTAGTAGAACTACAGGCAATGAGGCTAAGTACTTATTGGACCGCTGTCATATATGTATATATTTTAAAATGTGTCCGTTTTGTTCAGGTAACATATCTTATAACAAATGACGTATTAAACATTCTATTAAGTTATTCAAAATATCAAAAAGGCCTTTGGTTTTGTGGTTATACAGTCTGCCTATATCCTCAATGTTTTTTTTCTTAATTTTCACTGTTAGAATATCTCTTAAACACCCTGTTATGTTGATATTAGATATTTTAGACTTTGTTAGAAACTGCAACAGTTTTATTAAATAATTGAGTGCTTTCTCATCTCAGCGGATAATATAATACTGGTAAAGTGTTAAATGGGCAATACATAATCGAGAGATGTTAAATATAGTTTATTTTGGTATGAAGAAATATGTAAATGTGAAGTTTTTCATTTATGCAGTATGGTTTTTTTTTATTTCTTAAGTTCTCTTAAAGTGCAACCAAATCAAAAGGCAGTTGGCTACTTCAATTACAAACTCTTTTCTGTCTTCAGCTGTTCCTATTAGCCGTCTAAAATTTAGCCCTGTCCATTGTCGGATGTTTCTTAACCACCACAGTATTTTTCTTCCTAGTCCTGTTTCCCTTGATCTTTTTTCACTATTACTTATTGAAACAATATTGTTTAATATTTCTTAGTATGTGATCTAGGTATGATGTTTTCCTAACCTTTACTCTTAAAAAGTTTTCGGTCCTTTTCTAATCTATGCAGCCCTTCTTTTACGTATGCGATGTCCATGAAATTTTGAGGATCCTCTGATAGATCCACATTTCAAAGTCCTAAAATTGTTCATTTAATTTAAAATATAATTTAAAAATTCATTTACAGTTAATGTTTAAGGGTCCACATTTGGTACTGCATAGAAAAGAGTCAACCAGATGTAGCATTTTGATAAACGTTGACTTATGCTAAACGCTGCACTCGTTGACTTATGCTAAATTGTGCCCATTTATTGTGAAGTTTGCGATATATTTTGATTTTTTCAGATTGACTTTGGATCACTATAGTGTTCTTAACGTTTATTTTCATACTGAATTGCTCACACACCGGGTTGGTCCTCTTGATGAATCGTTGTAGATCCAAGTCGACATTCGCAATCAACACAGTTTCTAAACTGCATTTAATTATTTGTGTAGTCCATTTTTCGTTATATAAACTTTGTTTAATGCTTCAACAATGATTCTACTACTACTTATTTGGACTACAGGTTTGTAAGATCCTCAAAATGTATCCTTTAATTTTCTTTTCATTTGGATCGAGACTTTTTTCAGTCGCAATTTAAGATTTAAAAGTAGATAAAATACAGGGGAGCCATATTTGGTTAATAAGAAGGATGTTTTAATAGTTAATACTTAATTCTTTTGCTTCATGATCGTATACATCGTCTCAGTAAAAGAGATATTTAGAAATTTAGGCTTATTGTCTCTAGTTACTTCATTTTAACATGACGTAAATACTTTCAATGTAGAAAGATATGAAGTAATAACTAATGACAGGTGACAATTGACGAACTGCGATTCGATAAAGGTTAAATTGTAATGTGGCAATATACGAAATGTGACTTAAAACGAAATTTTTTCGCCTTTATAGTGATAATTTGTTCTTTTAACACTTTTTCAATACGTATTGTACGCCGATGTTATAGGAATTTTTTGTTACAAGTTTTTTTATGATACGTTCATGCATTTTATTTAATCAGTAACTAATTTATATCGCCCCTATTGTATTTCTCGTAGAAATTTTTGCGTACTGTTGATAGTATTTTTCTTAAGTGATTTAGTCATGTTTGAGTTTAAAAATAATAATCTTTCGATATTATAAAAAGTATTTTATTTTCCTTTTCTTCCATCTTTCCAGAAACGTTTGGAGAATAATAGAAATCTAGAAGACCTCGCGCACTCATGAATTTTTCAGATCTGTCGGAAAAGTTCCAGAAATTACTAACACCTAATTGTCCTCATTCTTAGGTGCATCATTCATGTTCGCACTTTTAATGCTAGAAGTCTTAAAAGGAGTTACACTCGATTTATATCAAATTCTGATCTGTGCATATTGTGAGTTGTCTTATTGTTTATTATAGATGATATGTCTCAATGACATTATCATATTGTCTTTAATGATATTACCTGGTAACTTCAGATCTTGCTGCATTCTATGGATAACTTTGCTATACAATTTAATGTGGAATTTCTTAATTTTCCTGTTTTTTACTATTTTTCCTTCAAAACTATTGATGAATTTTTCCATTATATCTGTATTTATTCTCCCAAACATGTTTACATACCTGTTAATAACTCTTATAAAAATTATCACATTCAAAAGGTATTTTATAAATGCAGTTCTTTGATCTTTATTCTACATTGTTTCGTTGGATTATGGATAAACTTAATCTCATTGTTTTGGTTGGTTCAAATTTTTTTGTATTTATATATTGTATACTATACTATTTGTTTCCTATCCTTTTTAATTTCTCTGATAAGCTCTTCCTCAAGCTTCCCTGCAAATTTCTTTTTATATAGTTACTAAAATATTGCTGAATAAGTTTATTTCCTTCAAGAACACATTTTTGGCTCTGTCATATTGTTTTCCTTTTCCATAGTGAATTTGATCGATTCTTCTTTACAATTTATTGATGTCCAATCACTATGTGAATATCACAAAAGCATTTTTAAAAACTAGCACACTGAGATCTACTTTATTCAAAACCAAATCAAACGATGTGTGTACAAGAAAGGACTGCATTTATAAAATACTTTCTGATTGCAACATTTTTTATATAAGTATGTTAAACAGGAAAATTAAGGAATCCGCCGTTATCTTGCTACATGAAGCAATGTGTAGCAAACTCATCAATATAATGTAGTAAGATCAGGTTGCCGATACTGACAGAAGTTACCAGTAAGAATATACCAACACTAATGAGTAAACAACAGGTCAGAGACACATCATCTGTAACCAACAATACCAGTTCACTATAATATATAAGTGTATAACTATTAAATGACATTTATGTGTTGTCATTTTGTTATGTGTTAATCGTATTGATACAGTAGAACTGATAAAGTGAGATTTATTACTCATCTCTGATGATTCATCTAAAATACTTTGTGATACCGTGCGTGGGCAAAGACTTTTGTTTCTTTGATATGCTGCAGATTAACTCTCATGCAATAACTTAAAGTAGAAGCAAAAATACATAAACAAATGGTTTATAAATATCTAATGTGCATGTCGGTCAGATAGCTCAGCGGGCTGTGCGGCTGCCTCTCATTCGCTTCACTGTCGAATGTTTCAGTGGATGTGGGATCGAGCCCCAGCTCGGTGTACAGAAAACAAAAATCTAACGCAGCAGTTTAAAATTCTAGATGAATCTGCGGCTTAGACTAGAATATGCTGGGATCTGATCGGCCTATGGTGGAGCAGTACGGCAAGAGATAAGGGCTTGCGGCTCGGTGATACTTCTCCATAGATCCCTACCGGACGGACGTAACGCCTAAAAAAACCGGATATATATATATATATATATATATATATATATATATATATATATATATATATATATATATATATATATATATATATATATATATTTGTGAATTTATCCAAAAAGTTTATAAATTGTCATAAATTTAAGAAAGCTGGAATAAGTAAGGAATCCTAGTTTTTTAGTAAGTTTTGAACCCTTGTGAAATGACCCAGAATTATTTTAATAATAAAATATACTTAAAAAATCCAACTCCCAGTAAAAAAAAACTTCAAAAAATGATCCTGACCTGACATTTCAGGTTAGTCAGACATCAGGCATACACTGAGACATTACGCTATGAGTTTTGTTTGTTTTGTTACGCTATTATTTTTCTAATAAGTTATTTACATTATATTTACTATATATTTGGTCATAGCTGTATTTGAGGATTTATAATTCATATAGACTGCCTGGTTCGTCGCCAGATACATAATAGGAATAGACTATACTACAGCAAATAAAAAATGAAATGAGCATGTGCGTGAACACTTAAGTTTATCGTATCATGTAGCTGTCCCTATGAGTTTTACCAAGCAGCTTGTCAGTAGCAGAGAATTTATTTTGTGTTTAGCATATGTCATACGGAAAACACATAATTAGAAGCAATAGAAAACGTTCAATGGATTATTAAAAATAAACATCCAATATCTCATCATCTCTTCACATCTTTGGTTTGAATTCTTTTTTGCTTTTGTTTATTTCTGGTAAAATTTTCTTGTCTCTGTTGGCTTACCTAGTTCTTGCAGTTTTTGAAGTTCTGTGTTCATATTTTCTTTCTGCGGTGGATTTTCTTTTCTTCTTTACGCAGTATTTATATTCTTATTCTCTCCTGGCGGGTTGTGCCCCTTGCGTTCCTCGTCAAACCAATTATTCTTTCTTGTTCTTCTTTGTTTACCTTTCATGCCTAGTAATAATTCAGCTGCTTTTTTCATGATGTTTCTGCACCCTTCCTACTCTTCATTTATGTTTTCATGTTTTAGTCTGTTTTCTAGTTTGATGTTCATATGTTCTTCATATTCTCTATTTCTCTTCATATCTTTGGGTCCTTCTACATGATATCCTTCATGTTTAGAACTTATTTCCTGTTTTTATGTTTAAAACCCAGTTTCTCCTCTCCTGGTGCGGAGGTTTAATATATTCGATTGGTGTCTTGAATAAGTCTATAATTACATGATCTATTTACCAACAGAATGGATGAAAAATGAGTTTATTGCACTTCCAACAAAACCATGGCCCATAAAATACGAAGATTACCGTACTATAAGCCATCTCCATGAGTCATCTCCTAAAATTGTTCTTAAAGATAATTTATAAGATAATTCACAAGCTTTGTGAAAGTCAAATTTCCCCCAACCAGTTCGGGTTCACAAATGCTGTTGGTACTAGAGAGGCTTTGTTCTCAGTACAAGTCTTATTCCAGAGATGCAGAGACGTCAATTGCGACGTATACGCGTGTCAGGTTGATTACCAGAAAGCGTTTGATCGAGTACAGCACGCCAAGATAACGCACATACTAAAAGAAGCAGGAACACACTGACTATGTGAAAATCCATCGTGGTGTGAGGCAAGATTGTATTTTGTCTCCTCTAATCTTCAATCTGTACTCTGAAAGAATATTTATCGAAGCTTTGCATGAAACTGAAAAGGTATGCTACTAAATGGTTATCGACTAAACAACATCAGATATGCAGATAACACCATAGTATTTGCGGACAACTTAGAATATCTACAAGTCCTTATGAACAAAATCACGTATTACAGTCAACAATATGGGCTCAATATAAATGTTAAGAAGACAAAGCTTATGATAATTAGGAAGAAAAGGATAACAGGTCAACTCTACGTCAAACAATCTCCTGTAGAAAGAGTGACGCACTACAACTACCTCGGCACCATAATAAATGAAGAATGGACCAACAACCAGGAGATTAGAGCACGAATTGGAAAAGCTAGATCCACCTTCAATCGCATGGAGGCCTTCTTCAAGAGTCACAACCTCTATCTTGATACAAAAGTAAGAATGCTGCGATGCTACGTCTTCTCTGTCCTTTTTTATGGTGTTCAATCGTGGACCTTGAACGAAGATATGTGCAAAAAACTGGAAGCATTTGAGATGTGGCTATATCGGAGAATACTTAAGATCCCGTGTACTGACCGAGTCGCAAATGAGGAGGTCCTCAGAAGAATGAATAGGAACCGAGAGGTATAGTAGCCTCGTATTTCCGTGAGACTGTGCAAAAATATATGTATCTGTAATAAAATCATTCAACAAAAAGGTACTCTACCAGGAGTCTGTAAAATTATCAGTCAGACGTATAATAATATAAAGTTTCCAGATTCCACTCGATATTAACATTCAGACGTGCCTGGTATAATCTTTTAAAATATGAACTAGATATGAACAATCAACCAATTAAGTTTTCATCGAACTTATGACAAGTCCACTTGGACTAACGGTCAATGAAAACATCGGATATTGCTGTTATGAAACGATAATGCATTATCTTTTGTCGGTAGACTTATTCATACTTGGGGTAAGATTATATCAGTATTTGACTGAGCTTACGGAGTCATAAAATAAGGGATCAGGTTTCGACCGTCCAGTGCCGAAGGCACGGGACGAGGAAAACTTAGGTAGGCAAATTTTTATAATATTTTATTTTTAAATTGCGGATATGACCAACAGATTTTTGGGAGACAAGAATATTTTTAGTAAAATCATAACTGCTCCAGCGTTCAGTTAAATTCAAATTTCAAATAGTGAACCGCAAGTTAGTTTGGTAGTGACTTTTTTCAGTGTTCTTTATACGAAAAACATTTTATATTTTACGTTTTTTACTTTTTTTGATGCGTTTTTACGTGATTATGTTTTTATACGTTTGATAATTTTAAAATATTGTGTCCGTGGTGCGATAATAATTATGTAGCTGAAGAGACAATGGAACCCTCTAATCGATTGAAAGACTTACAAAGGCGTGTAGTAAAACGTAAGCGACATTTTGAATACCTTTCTGATGATGCCAAACGTATGCTAAAAAATGTTTATGAAGGACTGTATGCTGAATTGTCGAAATTCTAATTGCAGAAACATGTTTTTTAACTAGAGTGCCCAAAGCAACCTGCTACAAAATTATAGGAGAAACATCTTCTTCTAGACAGAAGAGAAAGGATTGTGGCAAATTCAGAAAAATAGAACCGCACTTAATTGAATCTATAACTAGAACAATATACCAAATGCATGCGGCTAATATTTTTCCAACTATTGAAAGCCTTCGAAGTGAATTAGTTCGA